CCCCGCTGCCCCTCTGCAGGAGTCACACAAGGCAGCATGGAGCAGCTCCACTCCGCACGGCACCCGATGCGCTGCTGCCAAAGAAGGCACCGCTGCCAGTGAAGGTAATTCACACGGACTGTAATTGCCAAAGTGTAATTAAGGGCAAAGCACGGCCTGCGTCTTTAAAGGCGACGATGCAGACTAACAAAGGCTCGCTGTTCCCAGCCCTGTGGGTCCGTCCCACTGGCACCACACAAACCCTGGCTCTGCTGGGAGAAAGGAACAATTCTGCACCGGCCCATGGGACTTTGTGCTCCCTCTGTAGAGGGCCAGGTGCTGAGGACCAGGCGTGCTCTGCAGGCAGCTGGCCGGCTCTGCCCCCCTTATACACCCAGCTCTGGGAGCCCCACCTTGGAGACAACCCCAACTCACCCAGCAGAGCTCCATGAGATCAGACGCGTCCCCAGAAGCAGGCAGGACACAGGCCTGGGCGAGCAGGGAATGCTCCCGATGGCAGCAGGTGGGGATGCACAGAGATCGGGCATGGGCTTTGAAAACACATCCTCTTTCAAAGAGCTCCAAGGAGGTACAGTTTGATATAAATGCAGATGAGTGCACACACCCAGCACGGGACACCATATCGAGCACCAGCTCTCTCCCTTCCTTCATCCCAGCACTCTGAGCAAAGACACATTCCCCTCAACGCCAGCTCCACCGTGCCCAGCTCGCTCCCCATCTACCGTGGCTGTAGGAGCAGGTTGCAGCCCAGGCTGCACCAGGCAGCAGTGCTGTGCACAGACTGGCACTGGCACATCTGGGGGAAGCTCCAGGGGCAGACAGGCGCTAATTCCATCCTACTTCCCATTCCATCCCTCCCTCTTCTCCCAGAGCTGTGCACCCAGAGGGGATCACGAACAAAAACATCTCGGAGGTGCCACAAAAAAAAGCCACTGAGAGCCACACAAGCTGTAAGGCCGCACCAGGGGGAAGGGGGGGGGCCGGGGGGGGGGGGCCAGGGCTGGGGACTGCAGCTGGCCCTGTGGGCTCAGCCCCACAGCTGTGGTCCCACAGCCGGACTCACTGTGTGCCCATCGGCCCGGCGGCCACACGCACGCTGTTAGTGTGAGCTCACCATCACAACGCTGTGATAATTTGCTCTGGAAATTTTTCAAAGGAAAGAATTTGACCTAAAACCTTCTTATTTGCAGAACCAACTCCAAAGCTTTTTGTAGCTCAGCAATGATGCTTTTCTGGCTACAGCCAAGCAGCTGATGGCAGAGGAGCAGCCCAGTTACCTCTGGAACAGCACCAGCTCCTGACCCCAGCATTAATGGGGCATCGTCCGTTCCCAGCAGAGCTGAGAGCAAACAAAGCTGCACTTCTCGATGGCTAAAGCCCTGCCTGCTGTCCAACCCCCCCAGCAACCTGCTGTCATCTACAATCAAGGAACCAGAAAGGCTGGAGAAGCCCTCTGATACCCCCCACCCCAGCAAACTCCCTCCTCTCACCGCACAAAGCAGGCGTGCAGCCCCGCTCCCAATGCCACATGCAGGTGCCCAGCAATGGAGCCGCAGCCCCCCGTACCCCCACCCCAACCATGCCATCTCTGGGAGCAAGCCAGAAATCACACACATGGGCTGTGCGTGACCCCTTCCCTATTCCCCAGCCAGCCCAAAAGCAATTCCTGCTGTGCATTACCTCATTTCTACACAGCAGAAGCAGAAATTTCTTCTCAGTACTCCACATATGTATTTTTCTACGGCAGCATTACCCTGTGTACATTCACCTATTTGTCTTTGGGATCTTATAGTGGAAAAGTGACAACCGAAGGCGCTCTGTTGGGATGGCAGGCGGTCCCAGCACAGCTCTGCTGCGAGCAGCTCACAGCATGCAGGCACTGCTGCTGGGGAAGGAGGAGAAGCTGGAAATATTTTCCATAGGTCTCCATAACAACTCACCTCTCTGCCTCGCATTAGTATGAGAGCAAACGTGTAACTGGCCTGCGGTGGACACAGAGTGGATGTTTTCATCAGTTGCCTTTTGTATCCTTCGTGTTTCAAATTATACACTTGGAAATCGATTTTAGAGGAAAGAGGAGATGCAGCCCGAGAAGCTCAGCTCTGGCTGTGCCTTGCCTTCAAACTTTCAGTGCATTTCAGGCAGCACTCCTTCTCCTAAGCCCCGGGGGCTGTAGATACATGGTGGTTTGGGCAAGGAACAAAGGCTGCTGCACAGACGCTGCCACGCTGCAGGGACAGCAGCGAGCAAGAGCAGCAGCTTGCTGCTACAGACACACTGGTGTTACAGAGAGAAACATCACTTCCAGAGGAATCAATGGCAAACTGGAAGGCAACCTGCCAGCATCGCTCCCACCACCACTGGCACCCAGGGGCTGGGAGGGATGCAGCCCCTCGTCCCCTGCAGCACACCGACCCCCCGACCACCCTCACCTCCCCGCAGTGCCCACAGCTCCCAGCAGAAGGATGGAGCTCACCTCAGCTCCATGCAGCGCTCTGCCAACCTATTTCCCAGCATGGGCAGTTGGAAACGATCAGAAGCACGAAGGATAACGAGCAAATAACCTTCACAACAGCCTGCGCTGCAAAGAGCCGAGCTTCTCCATTGTGCTGACGGTTATTAATGGCCCTGTTGAGTCTCTAATGAACTTTGTGCTTCACGTGGGAAGCGGGGGCTCAGTCCAAGTGCTCTTTTCCATTTATTTGAGGCCTTACGTAAGGGAGCTGTCACATTCTGAACCTAGGAAACCTCATTTCGTATTTTTTCTCTCACGTCTCCACGTTCTCATAGCACGAGTGAGTTCAGAAACAAAGCAGCACTGTCTGCCCAGGCAAATACTTGACTCACCAAACGATGGCAAACGGTTCATTATTTCAGGCCCTTTTTGCCACCACTGACTGCACCACGAAGAATCTCAAACATTCCCTGGGACAAGCAGCTCAGTCACACAGAAACCGCAGCGCCGGAGCATTTCTGCCTTCCTCAATGCTCGCTTTATTCCAATTGTTGTGGCACTGCCTCCCCCGTGCCTGGAGATGCGGGGCGGTGAGCACAGGGACGTGGCAGAGCAGACCCACATCGGGGCAGTGATGGGAGTGGGGACAGCCTGGAGAGCATCCATAGCAACGAGAGCACTCTGCAGAGCCCCACTGCAGCTGTCACTGTGCTGCTGCTGAGACACGAGAAGCTCCAAGAGCAGAGGGGACAGCGCTTCGTGCTCACCCACAGCAGGAGCCCTGCGAGCGCCCAAGAGCCGCAGGCACAGCTCCATCCCCGTGCTGCAGCACAGCACATCATCCTCCTGCTCACTGCACAAAGCCTCGGACAAAACCCAAGCTGCTTGCGGGGCATGGAGCAGCTGCCCCCCACAGCTGGGTACCAGCAGGAGCCGGCCCTGAGCAGTGCTCCTCTGCTGCTCCTTTGGGTGCTGGGGGGAACAGTGGGGCAGAGGAGGTGGAGGAGGCACCCGAGCACAGAGAAGGAACTGCTTCAACACAGGAACATCACCAAGGTAAACTGGTGGTAATCAAATAAAAGCAACTTTATTTAAGTCATTATCGCACAGCACACGAGCACTACTCACGCAGCTTTTATTGAGCTCAACCAGAGGTTAATCACACCGACAGCCCTCAGGAGCACCGTGCTGGTGCCCGGGATGCAAGGCAGAGCCCGGAGTCGCACAGCACAGACCCACTGCAGCCAGGGGAATGCACTGCCAACCTCCCCTAGAGCACAGGTGTGCACCACACCGCTGCTTCGTACGGCTCTCCACATCTGAGCAAAAATAGCAATCCTAAATTAGAGCCAACAGGCGCACAGACAGCCCGGGCGAGGAGCACCACGGAGCTCAGCGAGACGCCCAATATCTGCACCCGACGGGGAATGACCTTCAAAACTCATTCACCGCTCCCCGCTCCGGGCTGACGGCTTTCCCACTTGCAGGACATTACCGCTCCCACACACACTTAATTTTGCACGGACTGTCAGCACTTCGCTGTCGGGCAGTGTGAGGGCAATGGCAAACAAACACCTCTCCGCGTAACCTTGCTGGCGAGGGCAACAGAGCTGATTCCGGGCATCCCCGGTCCTGAACACCAAACACAGCGATCCACCGTTCGCTATGCTAAATGTCCACCGAAATACAGGATCCGGTGCTATACACTAAAAATAAGAACTAAAAGAGCACGCTAAATGAAGACAGCTCGTTAGATCCTAATAAGGACAGAAAATCCAGATTTTTCTATGCTGCATCGGCCGGATTCTCCCCCCCGAGCCGCGCTCCATGTGAATTAAGAACAGCCTCGGAGGGACCGACGGGGAGCGCCGGCGCCGCGCAGCTCCGTGCCGCCATCGGGTGCGCGCAGCCCCGCGTTCGGCTGCTTCAGGAGAGCCGAGCACGCCGGCAGTGCCGCCCGCGGCGCTCCGCTCTGCTCCCATCGCTCTTTGTCATTCGCCACGCGGGGCTGCCGGCAGCGCGGAGCCATTCGCGGAGTTGTGGGACGGCCCCCGGTGGCGGCACCTCGACCCGAACGGCCTCGGGCCCCCGGAGCCGGTACCGAACCGCGGGGCTGCGCGGAGCAGCGGTGCCGTCACCGCGATGGCTGCGGGAGAGCGGCGGGCGCCGCAAATCGGTTCGCCCCGTGCCGCCACTCCTCTCCCCGGCAGCTCCGGGGCCGAACGGGAGGCAAAACGGCGGCACCCCCGGATCTCACTCCGTACCCACGTCCTCCCTGCGGTGCCGGAGGTGCGGGGCTCGGCGCGGGGTTCCCGCAGCGCACCCGGCCCCTGCCCGGCACCGCGGAGGGGGCGGCTTTCGGGGCTCCCCCGCACCGCCGGCACCGCGGGGATGCTCGGGGAGTCGCGCGGCTCCGTAACCGCCGCCGCTCCGTCTTTGTTCGATGCGGGTTCCTTTTGTCTGCGGGTTCCGCGCCGCGAAGAAGCGCCGCGATCCCGGCCCGCCCCTCACGGGCCGTCCCGGCCCCCCGCCCGCTGCTGCCGACCTGGATGGTGCAGGTGTACTCGCTATCGTCCAGCAGCCGCACGGTGCAGTTGTACTCGCGCTCCAGGCTCCTGCTGCTGCCACTCATCCACCTGCTCAGCATCTTCCCGAGCCGGGCTGCGGGGCGCGGAGCGGGCGCTGCCGGCGGAGCCTCCGTTCACATCCCGCTGCCGCGCGGTGCGGCGTTGCGGTCGCGCCCCCCGCCCGGCCCTCCCCCGCCGCACCGAGCCCGCTACGGGCCGAGCGGCGCGGAGCAGCGCGGAGTGGAGCGCAGTGCCCGTGGCCGGGCCGCGGCGCACGGCGGGCGGGGTGGGGGAGGGCCGGGGAGGGCCCGGGGGGGCGCGGGCTGCGGGGCCAATCTCGGCGCCGCGCCTGTGACGGGCTTCGCCGCAAACCAATGCGGTATGGGCGGCGCGGATCCACCGCCCCCGCCGGGCAGCCCCGCGCGGAAGGAGGCTCCGCGGGCGCGCAGCGGGGAGCGCGGGGAGGGGGGGGGGGGGGTTAAAGAATGCGCTGCCGTGCGTGAGCCCGGCGTGGGGCGGCTCACCGTGGGCTGCCGAGCGTGGGGTTGGAGCTGCCGGGGAGAACGGCTGCAGCCCGGGGGCGGCGGAGGGATCATCGCGGTCCCGTAGCCCCGCTGTCTGCCGGACGGGTTGGTGTTTCCATAGCGGGACCGCCGTCACGGCCCTGTGAGCAGAGCCGGGCGCTGAGAGCCCCCCAGGACGCGGGCTGCTTTCCTAGGGCTCACTCCCTACAGAGGGAAACTTTTACGTCTCCCTGTTTTGGACAAAATGGACTCTAGAGGTGATCAGCGCCCAATTAGCTGCAGCTGGTGCTGCTCTAAGAGGTGAGATGCACGGCACCTGTGCTCAGCTGCTCCCTGGCCCGGCTGTGTGCTGGCTCAGCCCTGTGCTTGCCTCTCCAGCAGAGCTGTTGCTGATCCCCCATCAGCTCCAGACTCGCAGCGTGGGGCAGGGCAGACCGGACCCCGCTGCAGGGCAATGCGGCTCCGCGTCTGTCCCCCGGACAGGGAAAAATCCTCCCGAGCCCGCCTCTGCTCTCAGTTACTCTAAGCGTCCAATTAATGCAAATGACGGAGCGGGAATGAGATGTCGGAGGCGGAGGCACTGCAGCAGCCAGACACGGGCAGCGCCTCGGGAGGGGGGATTCGTTCTGCCGGGCTCAATGCTGGCACGCAGCGGCCCGTGGGTCGGCGGAGCCGCGGTGCGCAGCCCCGATCGGCGCAGCACGGCGCGGGGCCGGGCCGGCTCCCCCGTCTGGGCACCGTTACAAAGCCGCTCGCGTTCGCCGGAGGAGCTGCCGCTTTGTCACGGAACGCGCTCCGCAGGCATTGTTCGGCCGCCTCAGAGCTCCCCTTCTGAACCAGCTGAGCTGTTAATGAAGAATGGGATCCTCGGCGTTGGCAGGTGCCGCTTTCACACAGAGCAGACGCTCCCGAGCCAGCTGAGCGCTTAATGAAAGCGGTATTCATGCCACGCAGCCGCGCTTTTGTCGGCCGCCTCTCGCCCGTGGCGCGGAGGCTGTGCGATCTGCGCCCCGAGCGAAGGAGCGGCTGCGCTGAGGCTCCCGTTCCTGCGGGCTCAGGAGGGTCGCTGCTGACAGGAGCCGTGCTGCGTGCAGGGCTGCTGCACGCAGAGCCGCAGGGCTGGGAGATGCCTCCAGGAAACTGCTTGGATCAATCGGTGTGCAGTTTTGATGAGTAATGTCATTTCCCCCCTTTTTAATAATTTACTCCCTAAATCCTACCAATGCACGGCGCTCACATTTTGCCTTGCACACCTATGCTCCCAAAGGCAGATTTCCAGATGCACACCTGATGACAAGCACTGTGTGTGCTGCTCTCTGCTCAGCACAACTTCCCCATGTCCACACTCTGAGCAGCCCTGCTGCCAGGCTCACCCCACAGGCCCAAAGCAGCCTTCTGTTCACAGCAATGCTCTTCCCTTTACCTGTCTCAGGTATTTCAACAGGAATTGTCACACGTTCTGTGTGCATCGTTGCAATAAGAACTTGCTTTGTTCTGACTGTGGTGCTTGAGGCGTGGAGAACAAAACCTGCACGTCCGTCAGCAAGAGCTGCTGGTGCTGCTGCTGCTGGTGCTCACGATGACCAAAGCACTGACCTCTGCTCTGCTGCCATTTCTTGCCTGAATGCAACCCGTTCTGTTTGGGTACTTTCTGTGTTTTCTCCATCCAGAGCTGAGAAATGAGGCTGTCAGCTCTGCTTTGCTTTGCAGCCAGCACTCGCTCTGGAAATACAGCAGAGCAATGGTTCTTATTACCCGAGCTCTGGCACAACCCCGGTGCCATTCAGAGCAGATGTCTCACTGCGGCCCAGCTCTCGGGGTTTGCCCATCATTTACATGGCCAGCAGCGCCGGCCTTGTTGTTATTATACTTCCAAATGAACTCACAGGGCCCGGCCCGTTCTCCCCAGCTGTCTGCAGCAGGAAGCAGGCTGGAACACATCGTGTTTGGTACCCAGGTCAGCAATGGCAGTTGCGTTCTCCTCCTGGGTGCTGGCAATGCTGTGTGCCCTGAGCAGACACGTGCTTTGGGTCCCTGGGCTGTGCCTGTGCTGTCCCAGCAGCAGCCCCAGGGGGACAGGCTGCAGCACGGAGCCTCCCGGCTCCAGGCATGTAAAATTGTAACTGTGATTTGCAATTATAACCAGAGGATAGCATTTCAGCCTGCTAGGAGGAGGTGGGAACCTGCAGCGCGATGCAGATTAATTACTGCTGACACCCGGGGATGGGCTCATTAGGCTGCAGTCTCCTTGCCTCCCAGCACAAAGTTTTTGCTCTAGGAAGCGATTTCGGGAGGTGACTGCAGAGCTGAGCTCCGGGCACTCGCAGTGTTCGGCCCCAGAGACCCCCAGCCCTGGGACTGCAGGGCCAGGCTGAGCTCAGCCCTTCCAGCTGCCGTTTGTGTGCATCCCTGCGGGGTCACCCAGTGACAACAGAGGAGGGGATGGGGGCTCTGTGCTGGGGATGGGTGCGGGTGCAGCCCAGGGAAAGGCACAGTTGGCAGTGGGGCGATGTGGGGCAATGTGGGGCGTGCAGCCTCTGCTCAGCAGGAACCAGCAGTGAACCCCCATGAACCGCTGCCTTACAGCTATGGAATTTCTATGCTCACATTTACAGCCCTCAGTCTGATGTCACAGCATGCTACACTGTTTCTTGGGCCCAAATGTCATCCTGAGAAGGAGCATCCCGGGGTGGGGGCTGGTGATAGCACCCAGTGAGAGCAGAACCAGGCAGGGCGTCACTCTGGGTGGGGATGTGGGCTGGGGATGTGTCCCTACCTCCCATGGCTGCATCCTGTGGGCTCTGGGGCTTCTTGGCGAGACATTTCCTCCCTGCACCTTCTGTAAGCTGCCCCGCGGACTCCAAGTCGTTGGCCTCTTTTGGCCTTGAAGATCATTGTTAGGCTGTCTGTGCATGCATTTCTTCACTTTGCTTGTGAAGGAGAGAGACAGCACGGAAGTGCGACTGCTGAAGCCAGCAATTCACAGCAAACAACTGCTTTGACTTTTTTCCTGCTTGCAGAGCTGATGGTAGTGCGACACAAAAGGCTTTGCTCCGTGTGCTCGCAGCAGAGGCTGCAGATCGGAGGCACTGTGATGGGGCACACAAGGCTCTGTCCTCCTCCTGAGTCACTGCCTTGGCAGCAGCTGCATCACAAACCCTTCAGAGTGCAAATACAGCTCTCAGTCTCCTTGTGTACCCATGGAGGTGATGCTCTCGGCATTTTTTGGCTAGCAAGGAACGCTCTGTGTTCTATCTAGGGAATACAAATGGGATTCATTCTGAATCCAGCCCAGAAATCCATTTAGAACATTCCTATAGTTCTATTTCCAGACGGCTGCTGCTGATGCTGCCGGGGCAGACAGAAGGGTCTCTGCTCCCTGGGAGCACGGTGTGTGCCGGCAGCGCTGCTCGGTGCTGGTGCTCCACGGTGTTATTTCTGAAAGTCCTGCTTCTCAATCTCCGTGACTAAGAAGTAATCACAGCCTCAGTCAAAAAAAGATATATATATATATCTCCTGATTGCAAAAGAACACTTGGAAATGTGAGGCATATGCAGCAGCGTGTGCTCAGCAGGGGTCAGAAATAAGACAGCAGGGAAACAGCCCTGGGGGTTTTTTGCTCTCCATGCCATGTGTGGCACCCCCTGATCTCAGGCACGAGGCCTTGGATTTGCAGTGCTGCCTCTGAGGCTCATGCAAGAAGTGAAGTGTGGGTAAACACATCTGAAAGGGACGTGCAGGGAAGCCTGAGGGACCTGGACACAGAATCCAGCAGGTTTGGGCACCGTGACTCTGTGAAGCTCTGCCAACCTCCAACCTTTATGTGCCTGTGGAGCCCTTGCTCTGTGAGGGGCTCTGGTCCCGCTGCCCCCAGGACAGTGCTGGTTTCAGTGGGCTCAAGGGAGCAGGAACCGAGTTCTGAGCTCCAAGCTGCTGCACAGAGAGCAGAGAAACCACAGCACGTCCTCCAACACCGACTCGTGAGCTTGCTGCCCAGCCTCGTGCACGAACAGAGGGCCAGGAGCCGCTGGGAGCCCTCCCAAAAACCCCTCTGGAGGTCAGCAGGGAGGTAAGCTGTCCCGAGGCAGAGCGAGTCTGTTCAGCAGCAACCTGACCCTATTAACAGCAAACAGCCCAGCGCCGCTGCATCCCCTCGTGGTAACATCATCCGGTTTGACAAGTGCTGGATTTCATTTAGATTTAATCTCAACTACTCGTGGCGTGGCTGCGCTCAGCGCTGCCTCACTGCCACTGCTGCAGGGCTGGGGGCACAGCAGCAGCTCCCCCATCCCCACATCCCTGCGTCCCACGTCCTTCACCCTTCGTCCTGCACACACCCCACACCCCACCGCTGCCTCCCTGCACCCCACATCCCTCCGGGAGACAGAAGCAGGTGAAGCTCTGCTGCCAGGAGCACAGCTCGCTGTGGTGCCCGCTGCCGGGGCAGCACGAGGCAGGTGCACAAACACGGTGAGAGCATTTCAGGCAGCAGCATCTCTTTTCTGAGCACGTTTTTGTTTTTCTCTTAAATGCATTATAATCATTTCCATCAAAG